CTTTATTTAGTTTATTCTTTAATAGAAGTTTATAGTTCAGAAGTGGGATGCACTCGCGTGTTGAGAGTCGACCTGATTATTCGAAAATCGTCTTCGAGTGAATGATAAGTGAATTTGACGAAGTGGTATAAGGTCGTGAGATGTCGAAGAAAGTCGGTAAGAGACGATCAGAGTCGCCGGACAATTATAACCGAGAGCGAGTCCGAAAATCGAGCCGATATCATAGGCAGCAGTCTCGGAGTTGACGGGAAATGGAGAAACGTAGGGACTCGGTTATGGGGCCACAGCCATCCACCCACAGGAACCGATCTAGAGAAGGACGATTGGACGGAGGAAGAAGCTCGAGTATGGGTGACGGTACCTCGGGGATTGGTGAGTCCGATTTTGCGAAATTGACGGCAGCTCTGACGGACGCTATTCGAGCAGGCTCTAAACGTGCTAAACAGTTCACGAATGATAAGATCATTCCGGGTTTTGATCCTGAGGTTAGAGACGCGTCGGTGTTGGAATGGCTGCGAAAGATTAACGAATTGGCAGTAGTTTGCAATTGGGAGGAGACAGATAAGGTTTTTTACGCAGTAGGTAAATTGCAAGGGATTGTCAAACAGTGGTACGATAGTCTTACAAGTCCGCCTTTGGTGTGGGACGTGTTTTCGGAACTGATTAGCACTCAATTTGCCGAGGAGGAAAATTTTGGCAAACTTTTAGAAGTTGCAGTCGGGTACAAAATTGTGCCGGGGCAAAGTTTGCAGGCATATTGTTTTGAGAAACTAAAAAAAAATTAACAAACTAAATCTGGTCGTACCAGAAGAGAAGTTAGTTGAGCGCGTGGTGTATGGCATTCATGACGACCATATTAGAATGAATCAAACGGTAGCCAAGAAAAAAAAACAATTCCGGAACTAACGAACTGTTTAGATTCGCTTACGATTGAACTATCCAATAGATCGAATGTTACCAAAGGGAAAAGAGATTTCTCTGACCGGGAAGGTATATGGAATAAAGCGAGACGAGTCGAATCGGGTGTATGCTTTCACTGTGGGAAAAAGGGGCATATAAAGTATAATTGTCCACTAGATATAAAAAGAACGACAGATATTGGCAAGGACGCGGGGGTAAGAAATTCCGTGGGAACAGGTGGAAATGGTGCTTTAGCAAAAGGTAGAACTGACGTGAAATGTGGGTATTGTGGTATTTCGGGCCATACAGACAGTAAATGCTATAGGAAGCTACGTATGGAAAACGCAGGAAAAGGAAAGAGTGAGAGAGCATGACTAGACAAGGAAGGGGCATCGGTGTCGGGCGAAAACATCGGGAACCATCGGGCTCAAGCATTAGAGGTGAAGGTCGATCCTTTGGCTAAATCTTTAAAGAAATGTGTGGTAGAGTCTATGGAGAAAACATGCACGATTGATTTAGGGAGCGAATGTTCGATAATTCGGGAAAGCTTAGCACGCCAGTTAAATTTGACGTTGAAAGACACCAATAAGGTGTTGTCCGGTTTCAATAATTCGGAAGTGGTCCCCATTGGACGCTCTAAAATCAATATATTTGTTGACAATATACCGTTTAAAGTTAGGGTGTTGGTCGTAGCGGACGATCAATTGTCAAAAGAAATTATTATCGGCAGAGATGTATTAAACAAAGCGGGGACCCGAGCGATAACCGATTCTTCGGGTGTTACGTTCACATGTGGTGATTATCGCAGAGAAGTGTTGGAGGTAAACATGACTAGTTATGATGAAAGAAGACCGATAGTGGAGACAGATATCTGCTGCGATAGTAGTGTTGGAGATAAAAGTCGATTATTGGAGTTATTAAACGAATATCGAAATTGTGTAGCGTTAAATTATAACGAATTAGGTCGGACCTCGGTAACGGAACTAAAAATTGAATTATTAGATGATGAACCGGTCTTTCATAAACCTTATCGTCTCTCGCAGGCCGATAAGGAAATAGTTCGTAACATAGTAGAGGAATTGGAAATGAACGGTATAATTCGGCCGAGTACGTCGCCCTACGCTAGTCCGGTAGTACTCGTAAAAAAGAAAACTGGAGACACGCGTATGGCAATAGACTATCGGGCTTTGAACCGAAAGACCAAACTTATGAAGTTTCCGTTGCCAATTATTGAGGATCAGATTGATCAACTATTCGGGAAGAAAGTATTTACGTCTCTCGATTTGAAATCAGGATTTTATCAATTGCCTATACATCCCGATTCGATAGAGAAGACGGCGTTCGTTACCCCAGATGGACAGTGGGAGTTTTTGCGTATGCCGTTTGGCTTGGTTAATGCTCCTTCAGTTTTTCAGGCGATGATAAAAAGGGTAGTGAAAGAACTAGCTCTGGTATACATCGATGATGTATTAATAGCATCCGAGGGTTTGGAGGAGGCATATGAACAACTAAAAGCAGTCTTGCAGGCTTTGGGCACGAACAATTTAACATTAAATTTGGCTAAGTGCAAGTTTTTCCAATGTAAGATTGATTATCTGGGTCGCGAGATTTCGGAGGAGGGAGTGCGACCGGGGTTGTATAAGATAGAGGCGGTTTCAAGAGCTGCCGAACCACGGAATGTGAAGGAGGTTCGACAATTTTTGGGCCTCGCTGGTTACTTCCGTAGATTCATTCGGAATTTTGCCTGCAAGGTTGCTCCGTTAACAAAGTTGTTGCGCAAGAACGTGCCCTGGGAATGGGGAACGAAAGAATCTGAAGTTGTTAAAGAGGTAAAACGGATTTTGGTCGATAGGCCAGTGTTGGCAATCTACAGTCCATCTTTGACTACAGAGGTTCACACTGATGCGAGCGCGATTGGTCTGGGTGCAATATTATTTCAGAAACATGGCGGGGAAAATCGTGTAGTAGCATATTTCAGCCGAAAAACTACGGTCGAGGAGCAGAGATATCACTCGTACGACTTAGAGACCTTAGCAGTAGTGGTAGCTTTGAAAACGTTCAGGGTTTATCTTCTAGGCATTAAATTCACGGTAGTAACAGATTGTAGTGCTGTGAGGGCCACTGCAGCTAAGAAAGACATTCAGCCCCGGGTAGCTCGCTGGTGGATATACATGCAGGACTTCACGTTCGATATTGTCTATCGCCCGGGCACTAAGTTGGCTCATGTAGACTATTTGAGTCGGAATCCTGTAGAATGTTGCGCAATTGATATCACTGAGGCAGAGTGGATCAAGGTCGCTCAGTTGCAGGATCCCAGTCTCGAAGTGGTCCGGAAAATTCTCGAGTCGAAGGATATACAGCCGGAGACTAAGCAGTACTTCGACAAGTATATACTTAAAAAAGGAGTCCTGTTTCGAAAAACTGAAAGGGGTAATAAATGGGTTGTACCTAGTATGTCTCGATTTCAGGTAGTAAGATATTGTCACGATGAACAAGGGCATTTCGCGGTCGATGGAACGTTAGAAAAAGTGCGGGAACATTATTGGTTCAAGGGGATGAGAAGGTTCGTCACAAAGTATGTTAAAGCGTGCCTAAATTGTTTATATTATAAGAATCCCGGTGGGAAAAAGCCAGGATTATTACATCCAATAGAAAAAATAGCTGTGCCATTCCACACCGTGCATCTTGACCACGTCGGGCCTTTTGTTCGTAGTCAAAAAAAAGAATACCCAGGTTTTAACGTGCTGAGTCAAGTAATCGCAATTTTTGGGGTACCGTCTCGCGTCATTACCGACAGGGGGTCGGCTTTCACCGCAAAATCGTTCGAAGTTTTTTGCGTTGAACATGGCATGAAACATGTATTGAATGCGGTGGCTACACCACGGGCAAATGGACAGTGCGAGAGGCTGAACCGTACTCTGCTGAGTTNCATTACCGACAGGGGGTCGGCTTTCACCGCAAAATCGTTCGAAGTTTTTTGCGTTGAACATGGCATGAAACATGTATTGAATGCGGTGGCTACACCACGGGTAAATGGGCAGTGCGAGAGGCTGAACCGTACTCTGCTGCCTGTAGCGAAAGGGCCGTTCAAGGTGACTGCGGTCCTACCTAACGACCGATATGAGGTTCTCGATCTTCGGGACATGAGGAAGTCGCGTAACAGTCGTACTGTGGTCGCTGTTGACAGTATGAAACATTGCGTTACGTTTGATGCCACCCAGTAGACGACGGTGAGTTGGCAGTGGGCAGCTCCTAGTGCAGGATTCTGTGCAGTAGCACTTGGTCGGAGTATGTTACCCTGGGCAGTAATTTCGGGTCAGAATTACTTGTGCGTGACGGATGCATGCGAGGCCGGGACCCAGGTCGAGTTTGGATTGTCTTAGGGTAGGGAGTCGTCGACCCTATCTGGTAAAGATGTTCGAGCGGAGGCGTTGACATGAAGTAGAGTTCGGATTGTCTTAGGGTAGGGAGTCGTCAACCCTATCTGGTAAAGAGGTTCGAGCGGAGGCTATGACATGAGGTCGAGTTCGGATCATTCCTAGGTAGGGAGTTGTCGACTCTACTCGGTAAAGATATCCGAGCGGAGGCCAGGACAAGTAGTCGGAGTCAGGACTGATGTAGTTGAAGTGACCGGTTGCTCACTTAGCTTGTCTCAGTCTCTGGCAAGGCTAGCGACCGTAGTTTTGTTTAGTCACTATTTTGCTTATGTATGTACAATGCATTGTGGTCGTGCTGTTTGACTGGGTATTTGTATCGATGGGAGTCTGACTGTCGGACAGGCCTGATCACCCTGCGTCGCTGTCTGTAGTCTCAATCGATCGAGTACCGTATGGTTAACGAATTGTGGTCTGTACTAATTCTTTTGGTATTTATTGATGGGTTATAGGATAGATTCATGGGTTACCTAGGTGAGATACCTATATTATTATATGTATCGGCGAGGACGACAAAGTGATCAGTCTGGCCGAGTGTAACGGATCGCAGAGAGGGGTTCGTTCGATTCGTTCGATTTCCTTGTATCTAGGCAGTAAGAGTGGGAGAAGCGAGAGGGCGTATCTGAACGTAGTTTGACAAAATGCGAATCGCGTTTCGCGAATAGCAACGTTATCGAAGAAATATAAAAAGCTCAAGAAGTGAGAATCAATTCCGTCAAGGTCAAATTGAGAACCCGGCCTTTATTTTATACAACATGCCAATCGCAAAGCCTTCACCACCTGGCTCTCTTCGGAACGTTAATGCGTTTCGTAATTCTGTGGTTGCAAGGAAGAGCGCCGCATGTCACATGTTATCACTTCCGAGATATCGCCGCTTAAAGTTCTGATTTTCTTTGGTATTAGTAGTACTCCAAATTGCATTATTTTTGTGTGCTTATCGAATTTCTTTTCGTGATTTCTTTCTGATAAATACGTAAATCTTATATGTTACAGTTCAGTTATGTGCATTAACTGAAGTATTTTGTGAGTTGCGGCGTCTTTTCTTACAGCCACAAAGTTGTCTATAAAAGGCATAAAAGTGTACACCTCACCAATTTTGATGAAATTTAAATATGTTATCAGGATGAAAATTTTGAACAATTTTTTCCTATACATATAACTACCGTGCGGACTTAGTTTCCAAGATATTCGCGAAAAACTGTCGATACTGCTATAATGAACTGTGTGTATACTTACGCATTCGTGGCAGCGTTGTGTCAGCATGCGGTCGCCGCTTGTCTGCTGTGGCTATAAACTTATCGCGGCGGCTGGCAACTACATATAACGGGTGAACTGGTTGAAAAAATTCCGGTAATTTGAATTAATGTGTGATTTATGTTTAGTATAGGTGTGTGTACGCTTAGTGATAGCCCTTTATACCTACATATTGATTTCCAGCCGCCGCGATTTGTTTGTAGAAGCGGCAGATAAGCGACTGACACACAAACTGGAACAAATGCGCACATATAGGTAAAGTTCATTGGAGTAGTAGGAAAAGTTTTTCTTAAATATTTCGGAAACTAAAGTCGAGCAGCGGTTATATGTATAGGAAAATTCGGTAATATGTACTCTTTTCTGGACAAATACCATTTCTTTTTCGTCAATGCTATTCTCTAGGCCTATTCTACGGTGTCGTGCGATAATTTCGGATCGATAATAAATATGGAAAATACTTTTTGGAAACAGATTTTGATTTGGTTGTAAAAATTTTATGAATGCATGGGAAATTCGTGATTTTCGCGCACGTTTAGATGCGCTTGGTATATTATTGTCATCCGATTAAATTCAGAGTTACCTGTAGCATGCCCGACGCAAAGATAGTCAAAAGTGCCTCCGTTTTCCTTTTCTCTTATGTTTTGTATGCTTGATATAAATCATAAAACACCAATAGTAATCGCCAAGCATTGTGGTAATCTTCTTACCTCAACATGTTCGTCACTCTCATCACCGAGATTCGCTAGAAAAATGTCCAAATGGGAGTGTAATACATGCAGTTTTAAAGACACATTACACCCAA